TCACTGTTTCATCAGAAAATTACTTAAAAATAAAGTCCCTCTGTATAGCCAAGCCAATGTCTGTTTTTAACATATTTTAGTAAATGTGTTGAATTTGAATTGAAGTGCTTATAAGCATAAAACAAATGTATGTTTTCTGAGTCAGGAGATAACAACATCAATTTGACTGGTATAACAAATAAATACTTTAATTTGTTTACTGAAATTAATCTGTTATGTAGAAAAGGGAATGTTTTTGACTCAAACAACACTTTTTATCTTTAAGTCCATTTCTCTGTGTAAATTCTCACTATAGATGAGAACATCTCACTAAGAATATACTTGTGTAATCTATATTATTTCACTTAATATTTCAATTACTAAAGTTCTCTAAAAATATCCTGGTGATCCTAGTGGTACAGAACAAATATATAATTAATGAAATATTCCTAACTAACTCCACTATATCTAAATCTATATAAACACATATACAATGTACAATTTAACAATGTGCAATGTAAGAATAATACAAGACTCAATGTATATAAATACATCTAATATAATTTATAGTACAAGTCAAATATCACAATATCAAAGTAGTGAGGTCAGACTTTTTTTCCAGTGGTGCATCCTTCAACTCCAAAAGAAACAATATTAGAATTCATAATATGACTTCAGTTAAAAATTGGGGGAAAAAAACAATTTTTTGACAAAAAATTAAAGGCAAATTTGCAAAAAAAATTTTGATTCTCGGTCAAACTGATTGATTTTCAGCAATCTAGATATTGTTTAGTCAATTCTGGAAGGATAAGTCTGTGACTATAGCAGCACCTAAACTGTGAAATTCGCTCTATTAAGACTGGAAAGACTAAAGACCTTCTTTCTCAGGACTAAAAGCAAAACTAACTTTTCAGTCTGGCGGTCCCCCAGTAAGTAATTCACACAAATGTGCATTAACATTGCAGCATCTTACCCTCTCTCCCAATGAGCTGATCAAGCTCACTCTCTCTAGCAGGCTAAGAAAAAGAAAAATGTACACTTGTAGATAATAGGAATGTGCTTGGAGTGATGGTGCTATATGCATAACCAAGTACTGAGTATTTGCCAGAAAGCCCTTGACTATAAATTGTTCATTGGGATTGTCTAGAAGTCTTTTTGTGATTTATTAGTGTAAAACACATTTGTAGCTGCCTGACCTCATGGAGGCTTCAATACCTGGAGCACAGAAAACATCAGCGTTGTGAGTTTAAGAATGGAGAAATACTTAGCCAGAAAGGCTAGGGTCTAGAAGGCTGGTGATGGTGGGGAAAGGGGAGAAAAGATAGGTCTCAGATTTGGCAATAATGGCTAAATTCTGTCTATTCATCGGTTTTGATAAATCAAGGGATAAATTCTTTCTCTTAGCTAAGAGGCTTGAAATACTTCATTTCCTGGTCTAACACCTAGTTTTAATGTGTCATTAGTGTTCCACACATCAGCACAGTGAAAAGTGACTATTGAAAGCAAAAATCAGTTTCTTCTCTCCTGCAGCCTTTTCTCTTGCATCTGGGAAAGTTTTTAGGTAGATCATAATGCCTGAATTCTTCTGTGTCATGGCCCCTGTGGCCAGCACAGGGATTGAGAGCCTCATTGTATTTTGTCCTCATTTTCTACCTGCTTGAAGGTTGTGGTGTCTCTTGGGAAGTTTCACCATGCATTAAGGTAATGAATTTGATCATGCAGGTGTTAGCATGTTTGCATATATAGGTATATACATGTCTAGTAGCTGGATGGTTTAGAAAAGATCTAAAACTTACTATCAGAAAAACATTAGGACTTTTTTTTTTAATTAAAAAAATGCAAAGATTAGTTCTCCAGGTTGATTACTAGCAGGTTAGGCAACTGAGTGGAGCTTGAGAAAAACATGAAGAGTTGTTAGTTGAGCAAGCAGCTTTTTGCATGTGCAAAGCAGTGTGAACCAGCTGAGAGAGATATTCATCAACACTGAAGTCTTTGTGTTATTTGAAGAGATCAAATGAGCTTCTCATTTCTATATATTCTACAACTGGAGGAGTCATTCTAGTGGTTATTATAGTAGCTGTTCAAAGGAAGGTTCTTAGTTACTAAATTCTGAAGTTTCAGAATACTTACTGCTATGGATTGTAATTTGAATCTTTTACAGTAGTAATATTTCTTATATCACTTACATAAAAATATGTTATATGTAAAATATAAAAATACTAATAACATACTTTCAGGGGGTGGCAGTATTTTTGGAAGATGTAGCTATGGTAGAGATCTCCTTCCTGCTCTGCCATGAAATAAATCTTTGTTTCTTCATCCTTTTGCTCTTTCCAGGGCTCTGGAATTTCTCCCTGGAGGTTTCTAACCAAAGCAGAGACTGCACTGCAAGATGACATCGAGGAAGCTCACATTTCTTCTACCTTTCTCTCCCCTTTCATTAAGGGATGGGAAACTTTAACTTACAAGCACCACAGATCTTTTCAGCTTTGCTAGGGAGAGTGCAAAGAAACCATGACCTGCCATCAGCCCTAATCTCCTCCCTGCCAGTGTGGAAAGACTAGGTAGGCAGCAGTTTTTGAGTATGGGAAGTCTCAGGGCTGTACAGCAAAGGCACAAAGCTTACACCAGTGCATGTTGTAGGCAGTAAAGTAGAGCATATCAGCATCCAATATTTTGTTGGTATTACAGAGTCCCAAAAATAGCTGGAATTGGAAAGAGGCACCTCTGGAGATTACCTGATCCACCACTCCTCCCGCCCCCCTTGCTCAAACAGGCTCACCTACAGCAGGTTGTCCAGGGCCATTTCCAGTTGGATTTTGACTGTCTCCAAGGATAGAGACTCCACAGCCTTTCTGAGCAACCTGTTCCGGTGTTCAACGACCCTCACAATGAAGAAGTGTTTTTTTGTGTTTATGTGTTTTTCTGATTTCTTGGAATTTTGGTTTTGCACATTATTAGTATATAGCTACTCACTGCTGTGCAAATTGTACTGCAGCAGTAATACCACATTTTTATAGGCAAGATTAAGGTTTTCAGTGCTTGCTGGGGAGGTAGGAAACAGAAAGGCAAAACTGCTCCATTGCCACATTTCAGTCTCCCAGACACTACTTAAAAAGAGTAATTTGTTGTTCTTCCCTTGGCACTGCCACAGTACTGATGTGGTGTTCCTCTTGTTACACCTCTTAGCTGCAGTCACTGGGTGCCCTGCTGGACTATGATGACAGGATCTACGCAACAGCTTTATCTGTTGATTCTTCTAGTGCAGGAGCAGCTTATGTCAGTTCTTTAGCCAAACTGTTTCACATTTTTCCGTAAGTTCTATGCCCCTGCAATTGCTTATGTCTTAATTTTTTTAATGGCATAAAAATGACACTAAATGCCACTAAAACCCTATAATGCTAATCAACATTATATACTGCAAAAAGAGACTGTAGGCAGAGTACAAGGTCAGACATGCGGTGAACCTGATGACCATTTCTTCTGAGTAATGAGAGTTTTTTTTTTTTTACTAACACTGATGAGGAAAAGGGAACCTACTTTAAAAAAGGTATTTAAAATAGCACAACCACCTAGCATCTTTTCAGTATACAAAACAATTCCAATATTCTATAACTCTTTTCTCTATTTTTCTCATGAGGAAAGGCTATAAAACTGAAATACACTCCACTTACGACCTCCAAATATTAAAACGTCTGAAGAGAAAATGAGATAGTACTGGGTATTTTGTTGTTAAGAAGAGACAGGCTTCATGCCCTACTATATGGGGTGTTCTTTGTTGTTTTTATCTATCTTTTAAAATTTTGAAATAAACTTCACTTCAATATTGTAAGTACACCAAAGTGAACAAACAAATTCATAGTCAATTAGTAAACATATTTCTGGAATGTATATGAATATATTTTTAAAATAAAAAATTACTCTATTTTCTTCACTCTCTCAAATGTACTGTCTTTTGGGAAATTTTGTTGAAAATTTGCCAGGTTTTTACAAAAACAAATTACTCAGAAAAAAGTATGCATAAATGGGCTTTTAAAAATACTGAGACTTTTTAGTAGCAGAGTTACGGTAATTGACTATGTTAATGCTTTTATCCATTGCAAATACAAGATACAGTATGTTAGCAGACTTTCACAATGGTTTCAACTATCACATTTCAGCTGAGGAGTATTACTTCGTTAATCTGTGGAAATTAAGTCACGTGACTGGGTAAACATATCTTGTTTATTCATAAAATAGACTTTCTCTTTTGTTGAAGAGTGTAAAATATAGTTCTACTTGCTGCCACGTGTTTATGAAAAGAGGACAGAACTGGCTTTACATAGACATTTGTGGTTCTAGAATACTAATAGCTTTCCAGTTCTTCAGTGAAGTTTCATGTATGATATCCTCCTACGTAATTAGTTTCTAATAACCTCAGTTAAAAAAAAAAAAAAAAGAAAAGGATGTCAAATCTCATGTTATGAAGCAGTAAACTTAAGTCATGCTTGAAAATTAACATTTCTGTACAGCATGAACAAAACTTCTCATATCAGGGACAAACGATTCTCTCTTAAATGCCTATTTGATCACCAAATATATAAGGAGTTCAATGCATACATATGGAAAAACATATTTTTTTTTGTCAAGGCAAATTCAGCTCAGTTGTTGATTGTCTTTAATAAACTTTGAAGAGGCTTGCACTGTGTTGCCACTTTCTTAAGAAAAGTAGTATCATGCACGATGCTGGAAAAAGATAGCTAGTAAAAACAAAGTTATAATAAGCCAATAAAACAAAAGCAAAATTCATAACCATGCATGTCTATATATACACCATCTAAACCATAGCATGAATGCCATGTTAAAAGGCTGTAAAATGAATACACTCCTAAGGCACGTAGCAAGTTTCAGAGAGGACATTGGAGGTGAAATCTTATCAGATTCTCGTTGACTTAAGCAGATCAGAATTTTACATTCATCTAATGCTCAGCTGGTACTTTGAAATACTTGTGATATTTTGTTGCTAAGGATACGCTCTGGTAGCCATGCTTTAGTTTGGGATGATTTCAGTCACAGTGTTTGATCTATTTGCTGGTTCAAAATGATCTCTGTAATTGGTTTAGTCTGTTATATTACATTGACCACATTTTTCCTGGTCATTTATGACAGAGTGAAAAATACTTTCTCCCGTCCTGTCTGTGTTCTAGGGATTCAAGAGGAATAATATGCAAAGTATGAGAACAATATCTACTCTTATCTTTGACAAAATGCAAATCGGAAAAGGAAGAATTTAAAGAAATTCTAAACTTGTGGAAGACAATGGTGAGTCAGTCTCTGTGAAAGATCTAGGTTATGTCAAGGTCAGATTTTTACATACTGTAATATGCAATTTTACTTTACTCATAAGCAACAAATTGCCCTAAAAATTTTATGTGTACAGAGAATGTCTATTTAACTGTGTGAAATTGTAGGTATGCTCTTTGTTGCTACTTCTAAGCTTTGTGGCAAGATGCTGAAGACATTTACTTTTATATATGAAGACATGGTATATGTATGTTTTATAAATATAAGGTATATATAGGTATGTTATGTATAATTTGAGCCTGTATAATCGAGGAGCTGTTTTCCATTTCTTCTAATCTGCATTTGGCTAAGTTATTTCCCTTCATTAACTTCCGTACAGGCTTGATTTAAAAAAGTTCTACATTCTGGAGTGAGTTTTTAGACAATGAAGGTGGCTAACTTTTTGTAGGTCTTGCAAAATAGGTTACTATGTTGAAGAATTTGTTCATCCTGTACTTCATTCACTCAGGGGTTGATATTGCTTTCAATTCATGATGACAGGGAGGGAAGGAGGGAGAGGAGGAACAAATGACCTTCAGTGATGCAGTTTCAAGGTGTAATCTTCTACATTTGTTGCTGCATCAACTCTTATAACACAGATAATGAATATACTGTTTTGTATAAAAGGAAAAGACATTTTAACTAAACCACACTTTTGACTGATGTAATGGTACTTGAGGAGGCATGGACCGTAACAGTGAATCATCTCACATCTATAAAGTCTGTTCCTAGACACCAGACACTATTTTAATTATCTGTAAACGAGCAAACATAAACAAGCCCAATCATTCTTTTATGTTTGTTCATTGCAGTTCCCACCTGCATTTCTTATTGTGGGCATACTCCATCCCACACGCCATTACAGTATTTAAAATATTTCTTAGGCTGTTTCCCTATGACATGACCAGAAAAGCAAAGATCATTCTGTGACAGAGCAAAGTAGTGGATCTTGGTTTTAAATACTTGTCTGTTCAGTGCAGAGTCAAACGTGAATTTATGTCTTTCCCCAAACTGATGGTATCAGTAAGTTTGGATTAACGCTTTAAAGGAATGCTAGTGCTGGCACAGTTCATTGTGCCTGAAAAAAGACTGAAGAAACCATTACTTCTCTGTTGTTAGTTATCAGATCTTGTAGAAGATCTAGTAACAGTGGAAGTTCTTCTAGCACCTAATATCATACTGAGTTGTCAGTGTAGTTAGAGCCCCACTGTCCAGCGGTTGAGGTTTCACCAGTTCTGTAGTCTTAATTTTTCAGGGTTATCAATCAACTGCCTTTGAAAGGCATATAGATCATCTGCATAATTAAAATCAATCAGTGGAGTAACATTTCAAATTGAACAATATTTTCCTTTTCACATCAGTATAAATCAGGCTTAGTGCAACTAAAGTCAGTATAGTTCCAGTAGAGTAGGGTTGATCCCCATAAAAGCATGATAAAGTTCTTAGGTTGTTTTGTTTGCTGGATGTTGACCTTAACTTATATCCTCTATCTTTGTATTTAACTAAAGAGGATAAAGTAATTCATAAAATAGTTACTTTTAATCAATTATTAAAATACCTAGAGGTATATGTTGATAGGGCTTTATATTAGGAGAATGTCTACTACAGTTCTTTCTCCTCAAAAGAAAAATCCTGGAAATTATTTTTCTAGACAGTTGGTATCATATTACTTTGTATGTCGGCTATTCTAGCTCTTTCTCCCCTGAAGAGACCAACCTAGCTCTTTGAGATTATATTCTATGCATCTATGAGCAATGATTTAAAAAGCCAAACAAATGGCCTCCATAAGTTCCTCTCATGTATGTTTGATGTTTCACGTAACTAGGTCCGAACATTTACTTGGAATATCTTTTCACTAATGAGGTTTTAAGAAATTAAATATAAGGTACTAAACCATTTTCACTTATTTGGTTTTACTCAGTAATTATTCTGTCAGTCTTACCAGCTATTGGAGGCTGATTCTTCCTTTCATCCTTGAGGTAAATTAGGGCTGATCTCATTAAAATCAGCTACTAATGAATCACACTCTGACTCTGTGCTTTTTTCTTTATTATAATTAATGTAGTCTATGCTTGTGACCCTACCCTGGGCTTTACAAAGCGTAAGTTTTATTTTATTGAAAAGAAAGATAGAAAGTAACTCTCTTAGTAGATCTTGTCTGGTTAACATACATTAATAACTTCTAAATTGGTTATTATACTGAAAAATCAGTGTCCACAGCACACACTTCTTCACATTAAAGAGATCCCAGTCTCTTTCTAACTAACTTATCTGACCAATTTGACAGTGTCTACCACTTTAATAATTGCAAGGCATCAAGTAATGCTTTGGGGAGACAAAAACTATTGTAAATTATTTCACATGACATAGAACTGGAGCATCAATTAGAGTTAATCCAGTAAACTGAAGGGCAATTTAAACAGTTTAATTGACACGCACCCTGCAGTGTCATAGTTGTTTCAGCTTTTACTAACTATCCATTCATTACTCAACAAAGTGCAGAAGAGGCTTAGGAATTCAAGATGTAATTGGTTTTCATAGAGAACAAAGAAGGAGGAAGAACTGGGAAGGTTTAGCATACACATGCTAATGTGTTGTCTGCTGTGTAGGCAGATGCACAGCTTAGTAAGGTTTGATGCCAAAAACCCCATAGCCCTTGCATTAACTTGTTAATAAAAATTATGTTTTCATATATTAGACCATATCCCAAGATAAATATGATTTATTCTGTTTGGGTTAGAGATGCACTCTTTCTGTTGAAAAGATCAAAAAATAAAATAATTTAAAAAGCTGCACCCAAAAATTTAAAAATGATTTATTTCTAGGCAGCTCATCATGGAACTGTTTGGACTTTGCATTTTTCCCCCATTTTTTCCTAAACTGCTTTTTCAGCTAATAATTGTGCACCAGCTACTGAAGTCCTTCAAAATAGGCTATTCTGGGATTTCATTTGATATCCTCATTAAAATTTTAAAATAACTAAGCTTTTTTGAAGATAAGATAGTATAAAAATAGAAACAACTTTTTTATCACAATAATCTCTTTCATGTAGACATTTTTAATGCCTGGAACATTATATATACTTGCTATGTATACATCCAATTCTTTAAATCTTTGAAATCTCCTCAGGAACTATCTAGCGCACTTATGTTCAGGACTTTTTTAACAGCCCATTCCAGCCCTCAGCCATATTAGAGAACAGATAATATTTTTAGTTTACCACAGTAGTAGTCCAAAGGACTACTAATCATGAAATTCTTCATTTATAGTTTAACAAGTTAATGCTTAGTCTCTGAGTAAGCTCTGAAAAATTTGTTCTGCAGTTGCAATATGAATTTTATTTCTGGAAAACGATTGTAACTTTTAACTCTAAAGAAATTAGGAAGAGTTATTTATTTATTTATTTATTTATTTATTTAATGGGGAAAATATAATTAGCTGAATTAGACAAAAGTAAAACCTGGTTTTCCTGTAAAATATCCAGTGAAAAATTTCTCTCTCAGAATACCTACTTATCGAAATGGATATTGGCATTTTTAAAGAATTAGGTTCTTAGAACATTACTGTTTCCCCGTTTTTCTTTAAGTGACTGTTTATAATGTTGGTTATTCCTTTACTTCCATACGAACAGGTTGAAGAAGAAGCTTATAAAGACATTGCTAGTCTTAATTTAGACTTTACTTTTAGACTATTGAGAGTATATTATTTACCGTGAGCATCAGATGGATTTATGTTTTTTATGTGCATTTTAGCTATTGGCAGGCCTTTTCCTCTTAAAATTCTTTGAGAATCAGAATCAGTCCGGATGTTGCTTTGTGAACCTCAAATACACTACTTCAGTTCACTGTTGGAAAACATTTTTGTTAAGAGTAGTGCTTCATTTCATTAATCTGGAATAGAGAGAGGAAAACGAGAAATATCATGGGTAGGAGATAGGTATTCAGGAGTATTTCAGTATATCTCGTAGATTATGGAACGCGGAAACTGCTGGATATACAATGTCCTTGAGTGTCTACCTGACAGGAGTTATCTATGAATCAAATATTGGCAGGTAGAGTTCATAGAAAAATAGATCTTAGAACTAAAAATGCATCTAGAAGAGATGATGGAAGTCAGAAAAGGATTCTGACACATTATAGGAAGATGAGTTATTTGTGCGATCATACATACACACATGTACATGATAATGTATATCAATTCATCTAAAACATTAACTTTGTTTATCTTACAGCAGTAACAAGGTTTCATTTTTTTGGTTAGACCCAGGGAAAATTTGAATGTATTGGATTTGAATGACACACAGAATGGTACATAGATATTTCTACCTTCAGACTCTGAAATGAAAAATATATGTATGTGTGTATAAGCATATGTGCATGCACATGTATGTATATAAAAACAACAAAAAATCTATACAATTCTCTGAGCATTTAAAGTGGAAGAGGTATCCTTGGGTAAGATACTTTCAGCAAAAGTAATCTGTCCATGAAAAAAAAAAAACACCTAAAATATTAATTCTTTATTTATGATATGACACACAAAAGTGATCTGTACTTATTTTTTTCTCTATATGCTTTGATTTCTTTTCTTGTTAATGATAAAGGTCATGTTGCATAAATACTATCACTTTCAGTCACTCTGAATGGACTATGCAGGATATTTGCTGAGTGATATGATCAGTCAGTATTTTTTTAAAGTTTATGTGCAACAGTTCTGTCAAGAGAATTTGATTACACACCTTATTCAAATTATGGAAACTAGAAGATGTAGCATTTGGACAGTTTCATCTTAATGATTGATTTAAAGTTTTTGCTACTTGTGTTGTAAACCTTTTTTTATTTTTTCCTTTGGTCACAGAGGTTTCCTTTTAAGTTCCTTCTTTCTCACTGTTAGGCATTTTAATGACTTTAGATTTTATATTAGTTAGAACTAAGGATCATCTTCACCGTGAATGGCTTTTGTGCCCTTTCATTTGATTGGTTCATACAGAAATCACAGGGAAGCTGCAGTAAATCACTCTGACTCATTACCTTCAAGTAATAGGTCAGCCTTTTTGCAGTTTCATCTGGCTGCAAATGTGATTTGAAACTTTTTCATATTATATTCTGAACTTGAGCTGACAGGAGTTTAAAATCAGAATAAAGACCCCTGTTAATGTGGCTAATTTTCAATTCAACAAAATGAGGACTGCAGGTTTGGGATTTTTTATTTGTTTATTTTTGTTTTCGAATGTGATGGGAAAGGTATACTACAAAGTGCAACCATCCAAATCAAGGTTCAGTGCTTGAAATTGTGTTCTGTACTTACTATTCTGACAGGATTTGTAATATATTTTGCTATATGTAGATCCAACATGCTTTAGTTTTCCATCTTAAAATGAAAACGGTACGTTACAGCATCATTTCTTATAAAAGTGTTATTCTGCTGCCTCAGTGGGTTCTACAAAAGCAGTTAACTGCAAGTAACCTAACAGCCATAGAAATTAAAACTATAATCTGGAAGATCTCTGGAAATCATCCTGTGTGTGTGTGTGTGTATGTTTATGTGTATGCCTGTGTGTTACTCTTTCTACATATGCGTAGATTGGATACAAAAGTTTAGAGATTCAACATTCTTTGTCAAATTAAAACACCTACAATAATTAACCATGTTAACGTAGTGAAACAGTGCTGGAGCTAAAATCAAAGCCTAAACTCTTATTTTTTTTTTTTTGTTTTGGCAGTGTAGAGAGATCCAGAACTAGAATGTCAAAAACAGGTACTTTGGGTGGAAAGTCTTGTCTCAGGTTAGCATTGCACATCCCTACATGCATGACCAAATTTTAATCTCAGGCTAGGTTTATTTCCATGTAAGACAATTAATTAACCCCTTTTGCACTTTCAGGTTCTAATATGAGTGCCCTCCCACCCAGGCAATTGATTAAATGTATGATAGTTAACTGCATATTTTGGAGGTAACAGGCATAATTTAACAAACATAACAGATTTATTCATTTATATCATTTTCATTAATTTATATTTTCATGTGACGTATATTTATTCATCTTCAGAGGAAACTGATTTTTTTCTTTTTTTTTTTGTACAGGTTTTCTTGAGCAATACAGAAGCTACAGGAAACGTTAAGTAGGATATGTCTTCCTAAATCAAGTTTAAGATAAATTCATGCTTTGAGGTTTGAAAAATAGCAACCTTTTTAACATTATTAAAATCAGTGCTGCTGAATGTAAAGCTCTCCTACATGTAATATCTAGTTTATTTTGAAACATTTGACTAGAATTTTATGGAAGTGAATTCCACAGGTTAATTATATAATTCATTACATAAAAGTGTATTCACTTACTGTTATTTACTTTCAAGTTTTTTTTTTCATGCTGAGATTATCAAACTGAAAGAACATTACTCTGAGTACTTTCTTAAATTGCTTTCAAGAATCAGCACCTGAACACTGACGAGCTGTACTAGAAAATTTTTAAATACCTCAATTTTTAAGCATTTAAGTTTGCTTGTTTAGCTGATTATCAATAGCACCGGATAAGTGGTTTAATAGCAACTTACTTTTCTTGCTGAAAATGTAAGCACTATGAACAGTCTAGTAGAGCATTCAAAAAATAGTGTGAATTGTATAGCAAGAGATATTAAATTCATACCAACACTGGGAGTAGCCGAAGTGACAGAAGCAGCAACTAACTGAAATAAATCCATAGGGGAGAAAAGTAGAACAAAATTAGATAGAAATCTTGCCCATCTCAGTGGAACTAGGAACCTGACTCTGCTTATAAAAATGGATATCTGGAAAAATGAGAGCGGTTTTACTGCAAATGATTCTCACCTGAAGCCTGAACATATACTCAGGTAATGAGATTTTCTTGTAAGAATCTACTGTAGACTAACAAATCGTAAAGTCTTTGCATGAAGAAATGGAGAAAGCAGAAGAGATGTTTAAGTACAAAGATGGACTAACATTTGTGGTGAGGGAATACTGTAACAGAGTAGTTATAAGAGTATATATCTAGCATAGCAAAGAGCCAATAAACATGAAAAAACAGTTAGAGGATTTAAGGAACTCAGACTTATTTTTTCTTAACATTTGTCATAGGTTTCCTATATGATCCTTGAAAATCTCTTAAGATGCTCAATGTCTTCATTTTTAACCTGTGACACAGAGAAATTACTTACCTGCAGATACAAGAGTGGTCAGATATCACCATGAAACAAATCTGAATGAAAACTGAGACTCAAACACAGAGACCTAACAGTTAGATTGATATCCTAGACACATTACTGCCAGCAGCTTCTGTTGCCTGCATTCAAGTAAACTTCCTTCCTCTCATACTTAAAATTTCACTCTGCATCTGTAAGCCTTCCTAACAAATCTTTAGTTGAAACAGATCAATCCCTGCAAAAATTCCATTTTGATAAATCATCATTTCCCACCAAAAAAAAAAAACACACTTTTTCTCCCGAGATCCTCAGATGCACATAATGAGGTGTATCAGAAACCTTGTATTGATCAAAACATGATATGTAGTTCAATATAAGGGCTAAAATTTCCCCTCAGTGTTCTCTGCACAGACATTACCTGACCTGCAACTCTCTTGCCACTGCTGTATGAGTGCTATTCTGGATAGGGTTAGCCAGTTGTAATAAAACAAATTACAATTTTGTGAGGTGGACAAACATCCCAAAGGGACGAGTTTCAGACCACCAAGCTCATTTTCACTTGTGAACTGACAGATATTGTCCTGCATTGTCTCAAAGATGAAAAATCAAAGTAGTGATCAACTAGTTCTTTGGATTGGAGATTTTAAAAACCTACATGAAGATAAAATGAATAAAACACAGGATAATTTACTGTTGTGTCTTATTTTCCATGGTCTTCAGATTCTGATGCACAGAAGATTTACGGTGGAACACTAATCCCTGCAGCCCACATGAATCAGCCCTTTACATGTAAGAGTATTCTTATTTTCAAATACTTAAGTGACATATGCTGCAGCTGAATATTTCGTAACGCGGTAATTCCGAGAAGATTATTTAATATCATGCCAATTGATAGGCAATTTGCAGGGCTTTTATGTGAGAATATCTCTAAAGCAGATTGGACAGAAAAAGCACTACTATCAGGTCAGGTTGGTGACATGTCTTGCATTCAGCTTTATATAATGTATCTCACTACTGGTATTAAATCTTGTTGTGGAAGAAGACACAAATTTAATGTCTACATTGGTTACATCTGAAGCAATATCTGCATAATGTATTGACATACAGAAGCTTTTCAGACAGAATAGACTGAGGATTGATTCAGGATTTTTATTTTCAATGGGTTGAATTGTTCTTTCAATGTAAATGCAATAAAACAAAACAAACTTTTCTTACTAGAAAGCCTGTATGTCTGCAGATAACATTTAAATTTTGAATCACTTTTTAAAATGTTCATAGTTTGTCTCAGGAAGCACATGCTGATTGCATGAAAAGTGAACGTTTTTCATGCCAGCTTTTTAACTAGGTCTATTAATTACATATCTTTTGAGCTACACGCATTGAAGAGGAAGAAGTAAGGTTACTGTTCTGGTATTCATGCCTTTTTCTAGGGAAGTCCTTTATATCTGGAAACATCACTCCTGACCTATCCTCTACTTCTTAATTTGGAGCTCTGATTAAAACTTGTCTTTGTAGGCAGAACTAATTAAGAATCACACTTCTCTTTTTGTCCTCCACAGAAACTGTCTTTAAAGTAAAAGCAGAATGATAATGAAGAGCCTTTTTACTGTCTGGCATTCAGAAAATTAATCATTTGTGTTACCTGTTGAGGTACACCTTTGTTATTTTAAAGTGTTAAATTGTTCATAATTCCTTTATCAATTGTATTATTAAGCCTGTCCTCTGGTCTAACACCCACAAACGCTGAAGACTGCAGCTACCCAGAGAGAATAGACATATATAGGAAATTCAGTGATAGCATATGAAAAGATGGCAAAAGGTCTATCCATTTTTCTCTTAAGTATCTGTATTCCTGCCTTACAAGATTTCTCTTTATAATTCGTCACCTGATCTAGCACCTGATCAAATCAGATGAGCTAATTCTGTGCCTGAGGTCCACATGTACAATATTTCTGGAACTACTGCATAATAAAATAAACAAACAAAATATCAAAAAAGGAATAGATATTATTTCTTATCAATGAGATTAAAGTAATCCTGGAATAGACAGCTTTTGCGGACCTTGACAGCCACAACTCACTCACATGACCATAACTTTAATTTTAATTCATTTTTCTACACTGCTTGTTAGCTCTGGTTGCTTCATGTTATTCTTCAAGAAGTGATCTGAAAAATACATCAGTGAATGTAATATCTAGGTAGGAAGAGGAAAGTGATTATTTCCATGCTGTAGAATAGATTAAGAAAGCTAGAAGATATTTGTCTTTCTGTGAAATGTTGCACAATGGGAATAAAGCTCCCCAAATGGATTCTGAGTTGGTTTACTATGACCTAAGCTTCATTTATTCAATTTTGTTTCCCATCATCTTTGAGCATATCGAGATGTAATAATTTAAATGATTTCAGAGTAAACAAAAAATCAGAAAATCTTTTCTTTTTTTCTATTGCTATTGTTCTGCTCATAAAACTTCCCTTACCCTTTCAAACAAGAAAATAAATCACTGGACTCAAAGGGAACCAAGGTAGTGTGCCCAGCACAATCTCAATGTGTTTTTTTTCTGCCTTAGGTTATTGGGAAGTCCTATTGACTATGAGGTCATAGTTATGAGGGTATTCTCCAGCTTTTTAATGTGTTTGCCTCAAAAAGGAAGGCAAAGGCTCCTAAAACCAACCTGTTCTGTAGAGTAAGATCACTAGGTCAAGAGAACTAGGTTGAACTAACTGGAAGAAAATTTTAAAATGATGTTTTAGTTTCAAGACCTTGAAAAATTCTTTCCTTTTTTCTGAGTTTTTTATTAGTTAGAGCGTTATTTGTTAAATAGCACTTACGTTAGTGGCATTGTCACAAAATTGTACAATGATATGTATTTCTAAATACAAATCATAATGATAAATTATAAGTTATTATTATTTTTCTACAATAAAACAGATACTTACTTTTCATACCCTTACAAGCACCTTTTACACTCTTATTTACAGTATTTACCAGTAAAGGAATTGTGAAATCTTACATTTGTGTATTTTAGTAAATATGTCAGTTAATATTCAGCTGGTACTTCAGTGCAAAGAATTGATCCTTTGTTTGCTGTGGCTTTGGTATAACATACGTATTTTCTGAACAAAAGAGGAATAATGGCTTTTATCATAGATAAACAGAATATATTTACAGAAAAATGAAAGACTTCTAGGTATCAAAGACTCTTTAAAGAAACAAATTAGACTTGGAGAGACCCCAGTGCTAGAGAGAATTTAATATTGCCTTGAATAGAAATTCTTCCTTTTTGGACTGAAAGGTTTCTTTATAGTTCAGGATAAGAGTTTATTCAAATACTGCTACCTGAAATACGGTGACAGATTGTCTTCAGTAGAGCTATGCTGACTTCCATTAGTAGAGGATTTTGAAACATAGTATTTTAGCGGCTTTTGACATCTTTCTTTAAACATGTCTTAAACTCAGTTATTCCTTTCCTCCTTTTTTTGTTTTTACTTTCCTTACTGATGCTCATTGTGCTTTTGTGTGCTAATGCCTATGCATTAGGTGCTATAACTTGAAGGCCTTTCCAACCAGGAGAGGGACAAACAAACAAAACAAAACAAAACAAAACAAAAATAGTTGGAAAAAGGAGCTTTACTTCAGCTTCTGAAAAGCAGTGTAATATTCTTCTAGGTATACATAGAATGACACTATATATATGATGTACTTGCACACAGTTTTTGTTTGTAGTCTGAAGTGTGAGAATCAAGTTAAAAAGATTAAGAAGAAAAATACTTGGATAATTTGATAGAAGTCCTCATATTGGTTAGCATAATTATTCTTCAATCTTTGCTGTATCAGCAGCATGGACTCGCTACTAACGTGCTACATCAACACAGTCCTCTGTGGAATAGAGATGGTAGTTAGCCAGCTAGTTAGCCCATCATCACTGTATTGTAGCAGCCTGACAGAAAGCCGTGATAGTGGCTAATTATAATCAATAGTTCGAATTCAGAAGATTATCATCAGGACTTCATCCATTAGCATACATTTATTTCTTCTGTTTGCACAGGTCCATGCTTGCTTACCACTAAAACTGTGATTAAGAAATGTAGAAAATAGGAGAGTGCTGATTGTAACATTTGATTTTAGAGTAAGTTATATGTGGTTTGAAAGATCTATAATAGTTTCTACAAAAGCAGAATTTTTAAATGAATGCTGGAGCAGGCATATCAAAATAGTTTAGTAAAGTATATGGATCTGGGATTAAGAAAAAATCCTAGATTCTTGGGTATTTTAAACAGCTATATCCCAATCAGTTTAAACAAAGATATAACAACTTAAATAAATAACAGCTAAGCTACTAAAATCTGAAAAAGATTTTATCTTATTTCCTAGAACAGCTTTTTTTTCCCCCCAAAAAATGCAGAATAACAATTTACTGAAGTTGGCAAATTCCTACTCTACTACATGACATTTCTGCATGATTGCAGAAATATGCTTGCATGTATTTTATCTGGAAAAACCTATGCTAGACAAGTCTTGCTTTTTACATACAAATACAGCATAAATTCTCCAAATAATTCTGATGCATTTTGAAACATTCTCAGGAAACTACAACTGTAAATACCCTCCCTTCACTTTAAAAAAAAAA